TATTGCTCCATCTGCTTTAGGGTTTGATCTTGCAGATATCTGCAGGAAATATATTTCCTCACAGGGAGTTTGTCTCCCATCTTACTAAGGCAATAGAGAAAACTGGGCTTTGGCATTGTTTAAGCAAAGCTAAGGTCAAGCAGCAGCTCAGAGACAACAAACACCATGCTCCAAGTCTGTTCTGTAAGGAGGCAAGAGGGCAAGGGCTGAGACAGGACCTCTCCCACCCAGCCAGGGCTTGGGCTGCCCTTGTGTGCTGCTCTGGTGCTGGAGAGCTGGGAAGAGCAGCTCAATGCAAGAGTGAGTTCTCAGGGGTTTGCCCGGAGTGGGGAGCTGTGAGGAGCAGGAGGGATGAGCACCTCCCCTACATTTCAGGAAATCTCATCCCAACCATCTCTCAGCCCTGTGCCCTTCCAGGTAGATGCAGAAGTCAATGAAAATTTCCTGCAGCTGAGTCACCAGGCCAGGAAGGTAATTTGGGGATAATGAAACTCTAAAGAAATGAAAGCACTTTTGTTTTTTCAATTTCATTTCCCCTCTCCTGTGGACAGAGCAGGAGGAAGGAGGGGGTGATGCAATCCAGCCAGGCCTGACAGGATGAATCATTTCCAGTCATTTCCCCCAGTCAGAGCTGGCCCCAGCAGGGCTCTTGGGGCTGCTTCTCTGGAGATTTTGGGTGCCCATGGGCTGTGGGTGGCACACACCCCCTGGCTTTGCTGGTGTTGGTGTCTGGCTGTGCAGGGAAGGCCCTTGTGCCTTGTCCCTCCACACCCCTTCCCCTGGAGCTCCACGGGTGCCTCAGGGGTGGAGGTTGCTCCAGGGGATAAATAATGCCACGTCTGTTCTGCTCAGGGGGATGAGAGGTGCATTCTGCACCTGGTGTGAAAGGTGCATGTCCTGCCTTGATGCTTCCCCACAGCCCCCAGGAGAAGGATCCATGGTCATGAAGGGCTCTCTCAGCCCTTACTAACCCTCATGTTTCATTTCCAGCTCCACAACATCTCCACCATGTCATTAGCAGCTGTTTAGATTGACCTTGTGAGAAGGAGAAATCCCTGGGTCTCCTCACAGGTTCAGTGTCCCCACAGGATCCATCAAACATCAGGCCTTGAGGGCACTAATTGGCCATAATCATCCTGACCAGCCTCATCCGTGGGTGGCTTCACCCCCACAACACCTCCCAGTCCTCTGCCCAAGCCTCAGGAGCCCCATCTAACTCAGGTTTGAGTCCCTGCTGTGCTGTGAGTGCTGCTCTGATGTCCTGGCTCTGATCAGCCCCTTGCACAGCCCTTGGGGCTCTGCTGGAGGTACCTGGGCTGGATGGAGCTCTGTCCCTGTCCCCATGTCCTATTACTGCTGAGAAAATTCCCCCGAATGGATTCTGGATTTGGTTCCTGACCTTGGTGTGCCTGGGGCCACTGCTGGAGGCTCTGAGCCCCGTGCTCAGACGCTGGGAGCTGTCACCTGCCTGTGCTGGGGCCACCCTTGGCTGCTGGCTTGTCCCTCCCTCTGCTCCCTGCAGGCTGGACCTGCCAGGGACACACCTCTGCCATCATCTCCTCCAAACTCTGACTATTCCCAGGGCAGTGTGAGGTGAAGAAGAGAAGGTGCCACCTCCATCCTCTGTGGTTTGGGCTGGGATTGATCACAGGTCTCAGCGTGGTTTCTTTCCTGTGAAATGTTGCACAAGAGCTCTCGTGCTTGTGCAGCCTCTGGTGCCAGCAGCACCTTCACCTTCACCCTGCTGGCTCAGCAAGGCAGGACAAACAGGGTGAACAGCCATGGCCCTGCTGGGCTTTGTGTTTGCTTGATCTCCCCTTTTATGAGAATTGCGTCCCTGTTGTGTCACTGCAAGGGCTGCTCTTGTTGCTGGAGTCCCCCTGGGTATCACCGAGGTTGTTGGGACCTCTTTGGTGACTGTCACAGGTGATGGAGGAAGGTTCATTTCTTGAGCCTTCAGAATTCACTCTGGAATTCTGCCACAAACCAAATAATTTAAAAAAGAAGAAGACAGATATAAGTGAGGTCACCCTCCAAGGAGGGATGTGATGTCACCTTGCTGACTCTGACCATAACCCCACAAAAACACACTTTCATTACAACATCAGGTCCCTTAACGTGTCTTGTTCATCACATTCATTAACTGCATTTATTTTTCTGATTGCTGGGGTTTTATTCTAATCAAACACTAAGGAGCAGATAAATTCATAACTTGTTCTAGTGCCATCTTGAAATTATCAGGGCTAACTCTGTTCAGAATTAAATCACTAAAAATTAGACTTGGAATTGCTTCCATGTCCTATTTTTTTTCTGTTATCTCAGCTTTGCTTTAAAAGCTGAGCTGAAGCATCTGTGATGCTTGCTTAAACTCTAGGAGCTCTAAAAGGAGCCTGAAGTTCTCATTAAGCATCATTTTCCCTGATTGCTACTCACACAGAAGCTTCTCCAGTGCAGAGTCTCCCTCACACCCCTTCACTTAACCCTGAGGTAGTGGTTTGATATTGTTGGATAGAAATGCAGAAATATCTCATTTTTAGTGTGTTTGAGGAAGCTGACATCAGAACTATTATCTCATCTTCCTTAGCCAGATAAGGCCACTTCCAGTTTCTGCTGCAGGTGCATTGACCCCTGCCTGTTCCTGGCTGTGTTTGTGAGGGTTTCCTGCAGGGAGTTTCTGCTCTATCCCCCTGCCTGTGGAGGAGCCTGCCCAGTGAGTTAGTGCAGGCAGAGCCTGGGCAAGGGCTCCTGGAAGGCACAGAGCCTTCCTGCAGCCTCTGTGTCTCGTGACTCCAGGCAGAGCTTCCTGCACAGGAAGATCTCAGACCAACAACTCACAGCACTTGGGGCTCCCCAGTGTCCGTCTGTAGGAAGCAACCTTTGGAAGATTCTTATTTTTGTAATTTTAGAGTGTCTTTCCAGACTGTAGGACTTGCCAGGGCTGTTCCTGGAATCACAGGGATTTTGGGAAGGAAGAAGAGAATCACATTTGGTTTGTGATTGTGTCCTGAGTCTATCAGGGCTTCTCCATGGAGAGCGTGGAGGGAGCACCCCAAAGAAATGTGAAGGAGCTTTGCAGGCAGAAAGGGTTTAAAGAAGCCAGACAAGGATGTCTCATCTTGTAAATGGAAAAATTCCAAAGTGACTGAGTAGAACAGAAGAAAACAGGGAAAACATATTCCAAACCCTCCCACTGTCTCCTTGGGGACAAGTTTCAGCCCCTGGGTGATGCCTCTTGTTCCTGCCTTGCAGCCCAGCTGCTCTCGCAGGGCCTCCCCAAGTGCAGGATGTCTGTGGTGGTTTTCCAGCACAGCTGGGAGGGCTCAGTCACCCACTGAGACCCCAAACCCAGCCTGGGTGCCTGCTCTGCCCAACTCCTCTGTCCCCTCACTGGCAAAGGCTGCATCTGATGTGTCCCCTCTGCCTCCCTCCTCCTGCAGAAAAACAAGATTCTGTTTATTTTTTATGTAAACAAGCACATTCTTCAGAGTCTGCTCAAGACAAAGAAAAACTTGGGGAGAGCAGAGGGGCTTTCCAACACTTAACAATTAATGCCTACACACCAGCCTTTCCCTTTCCAAAGTGAAAAAAAAGAGAAACATGAAAAGTTCTCCAGGGAGCTGTGAATCATCTGGTTTCCACAGACATGAATTCAAATCCTGAGAAAAGGGAAGCAGAGCATCCTAAGCCAGGTCTTTGGCCAGAAAAAGAAACACAGACCTGCAGGAGCTTCTGAAGGTCCATCCAGAGCAGTGGATCTTGAGCCTCCATTTGCAGGAAATGTGTCTGATGAAGCTGGGCTTGGGGAGAACTGAGCATGACCAGAGCAGTTCTCAGCACTGGGTGGTTTTTCTCCCAACTATTTTAAAAGCCATCCAGGGATGACAGTCCCAGGCACAATGTCCTGCTCCAGGGAGTGGCTGGGGGGTGCCAGTGTGAAGAAGGGCTTGAGGTGGCCCCTTGAGTACCTCACAGGGAGTGAGGGAGGACTGTGGTGCCAGGGGATCTGCAGGGGACCCCCCTGCATCCACCTGGAGTCTGGTTAAAAAGAGGGAAAGGTGAAAAAAGCTGAGCATGAGCTGAGCATGACTGGCAAGGACCTACAGAGGGGCTCCTTGGACCTTCAGAAGGTCTGAAGAAAGGGGAGCCCAGCACAAGGGGGGAGAGCTGTCCCCCAGCTAACACAGAGGGGCTGTCCCCTTTCAGCAGCTCCCTGCAGGGGCTGGGATCCCTCAAGGCTGTGGAGGGAGGAAGATGATGGAAACACACCCCAAACCTTTGAACAGTGAGTTTTCCATCCATTCCCCTCAGCCTGGTGCTGACTCCTGCCCTGCCCTGGGCTAAGCCAGCCCTGCCCACAAGGAAAGGCTCAGCTGCACTCCCTTCTCTTTCCCCCCTCCCTGCCCAGTTATAAACAGGGATTTCTGGTGGAAAACTCGGGTTCTTCTCCATAGTACCAACATGGAATGTGATACAATTGCTGCCAGTATTTGCCAACTCGCCCCTTTCAGGCCACAGAGGGCTGGTGGCAGCAGTCACTGTGTTCTGTTTAATGCTTTCCAGGATTCACAAGCCATCCAGGCGTCTCCAGCACATTTGTGTTGGCTCTGGGCTGAGTGACCTTGCATGGAACACCAAGTTTTGTATTTCCTATGGCTATGAATCCCCTCTCTGAGGGCCCAGGAGCTCTTGAGCTTACATCTGCAGAGAGGAGGATTTCACTTCCTTCATGACTTTCCCTGTGTGGGTGAAGACAGAAGCTGACACAATTTATTTAGCCTTCCAGGTAATGTCTGTCTGCAATCCCAGTGACCCCATGTGACATGGAAATCCCCACGGGCAAAGAAGCTGCAGCTTTTCCTTGAATTAGCTTCAAATTCTTTGGAGAAGAACTGGGGAGGAGTAGAGAGGATAAATTGCAGCAGCTCCTCGCCTGAGCTCAGTTGAGCTCTCCCAAGGAGGCAGAGCAGCATCCTGCAAGGAAGAGCCCTCCCAGAGCCACCATGCTCACTGCAAGGCCAGTCCTGCTGCTCGCTGGCCTCCTCACCTTCTCACTGTGCTCCCATGCAGGTAAAGCCCCTGGTGGGCCACTCTGCTGCCTGGGACTCAGGGCTGTCCCATTGGGGTGGTCAAGCAGGGCAGAGCGGCACCTCCAGGGGTGCAGGGAGGGATGGACCCCGCTCCTGGGGCTGGGTGGCTTTGGCAGAGCTGCTGCAGGGCTGGGTGAGCACCCCCCTGCCCCAGGAGGGCACCTGGGGCTCCTCATGGCAGCATTTGCAGAGCCTGGGGGATGTTGTGTCCATCAGCCCTGTGCTGGGGGAAGGTGCTGAGGGCAGGCTGCCTCAGAGCCAGCCTCACTTGTGCCTCTTTGTTTTCTGCAGCCCCCTACACTCCAGCCGAGTGCTGCTTTGGCTACATCAAGGGCGTCCTGCGGCTGGACGTCCTCCTGGGCTTCAACTTCACTACCAGGGAATGCTATTTCCCAGCAATTGTGTAAGTGCTGGCAGCTTCTCTACTGCTGTGCTGCCTCCTGGGCTGCCACAGGCTCAGTTCATCTGTTCCATGTGGGGACAGGACAGGGACTGGTCTGTGTAAGCTCTCTGATGTTCCAGCATCATGAGGGGAGGTTGTGACTGTCTGGGCACTTCTGCAAGGCCACTGCAGCTCCTGGGGGCTCTGCAGGAGCTCCAGAGGTGCTGGGCTGCAGGATGAGCTGCTTGTAGGACACCAAGAACCCAGGGGCAGGCACAGGGACAAAGGGAAAGGAGAAAGTGTACAGGGCAGGGAGGATGGTGTGTGCACAAGTGGAATCACAGCTGTCATTCCTCACAAAGCTTCACCTTTCACCTTGGCAGGTTTGACACCAAGAAAGGAGCCAAGATCTGTGCAAACCCTGAGGATAAGTGGGTGAAGAGAGCAGTTAAAGAGCTTCTAAAGAGGAAAGAACTTCGTGCCCCGTGATGTGGAGGGGTGCCCTGGTTCAGGCTCCCCAACATCTGCTGGGAAGGAAGGTTTGCATCCCCTCTCAGAAGGGGTTAAGGATGTTCAGCTCCTGGGAGAGGGCACCAGAGCCCTGAGCTGCACCCACAGCTGGGCACCAGCTCCTGGAATGCTGCTGGCCCAGCCTGCACCTGTCTGCTGCTCACAGTCACAAAATAAAGTTTATTTCATGTGGTATTGGAGAGTGGTGTCCTTTCTTCTCCCAGCCCCACAACTGTGCTGCTGCCAGCAGCTGGGGCTGGCTCTTCCCACTGGGTCTCAGGGCAGGAAGGGAGGGGATGGATGGGATTTCAAGGGGACCCTAAAGGGGCTGGAGACTCCTCTGAGGGTTTTTAGGTGCCAGACTGCCACCAGTTTCAGGCTTAGGGGTTTCAGCCTGCCCCATTTGCTGTCCTGTGGAGGAGCACAGCCTGTCTGCCACATGTGCCCAGGCCTGTGGTGTCTCTGCTGGGCTGCAGAGGAAGGGTTTCCCTGCAGAGCTGCCTGGGCAGGAGGGACAGGGGAGGCTGAATCACACAAGGGATTCCTGCAATATCCCCCTGCCAGGGGCCATGGAGAGCTCAGCAGTGATCCCTGCCAGAGCTGTGGGAGGGGGAGCAGAACTGGAAAGGCAGGAGTTAAAGACAGTTTAATAAATAAAGCAGAACTGGCACACAAGCCAAGCAAAATAAGGGATTAATTCTCTCCTTCTCATGGGGGGGCAGGGGTCCAGCCATGGGGAGCAGAGCTCCCTCACGTGTAACAGAGCTCCCTCAGGGGAAGACAAATTCTGCAAATCTGAATGTCCCCCCTACTTCCTCTTATTTTTCCTGTAACAATCCAACAAGGGGGAAAAAAAAGGAGAACCAACCAAAAAAAGAAACCTACCGAAAAAATTCCACCAAGTGATAAAGAAACCATCACTTGCAGTAGCCCAGATGATGCTCAGGCAGCCCCTTGCTGCCAGCACTCACAGCTCCTGGGGAAGGGGATTTTGGCTGCAGCAGCAGCTCCAGGGATGCTTTCACAGCAGAGCTGGGGGGTGACCCTGGCACGCTGCAGGTCTGGAACCTGGAGTGCCACAGCCACCAAGGAGGTGGAGAACTCTGGGTGCACCAGGAGAGGCTCCAGCCTGCAGAAGCCTCTTGAACTGCTGAAACTGCTGCCTTTCCACGGCTGAGTCCTCAGCCATGGAGTCTCTGTTTGCTGGGGCTTGGTGCCCTCTCCTGACAGGGGCTGGGATGCAGAACAGACCCCAGGGCTCTGGGCAGGGCAGGACCAGCTGCACACCGGCATCAACAGTTCATGTTCTCTGTTAAAGTATTAACTTTTGTGATTGTCCCCTCAAAACCCAAAGCATTTTATGAGTCAGAGAATATTTCCCACCTCTATGATGCCTTTTTTTTTTTTTGGTCCATGTCTATCCATTTCAATTTCTAAAGCAGGGGTTTTGCTCAGTCAGAAAATTTGTACTCAATTATTAATTATAGTGAGGTTGGACACCCATAAAATCCTCTGCAGAGTCTGTACCCCCTCTTCTCTCCACTTGCCTTTGCATTTGCACCTGGGCAGAGGCTGTGCCACTGCTGGGGATGGCTCAGGAGTGTGCTAGGAATGGCCCAGGAGCTGCAGAGGAGCCTGGAGAAGACTAAAGCCAGACCCAAAGGTCCCCTGCTGGGGCAGGGAGGGAGGCCCAGTCCTCCAGAGCCTTGTGGGGCCTTTCCAGGCCTTCAAACATCCAACATGCACTGATTTCCTCCAGGAAAAACAGATAGTGGAGGCATCTGCTGATGCTTCCTCTGGAGAGAGGAATAAATAGGGAAAGCAGGAGCAACTGTGTGTGCCTCAGACACACCTGGAAAGGGAGCTCAGGGCTGGCACATGAGATTTTCTGAGTCAGGAGATGCTGGGTTGGAAAAAGTCATGAGCTCAGTTCTCCCTTAATTACAGCTGTGTGCTTTTAACCGTGCCTGGGAGCTGGTGTGAGCCTGGGGCTGCTGGCCCCAAGGGTTTGTGCACTGGGGAGGTGGGCAGGGAGGGCAGGAGAGCCTGGGGGTGATGCACAGCCCACAGAAGAGGGCTCTGGCTGCTGTGGGCCAGGCATTTTCTCCCTGCAGAGCCCTGCCTGGGGACAGCGGCACCAGAACCCAGTGGGGCTGTGCCCAGCTCTCTGTGTGGCCACCCTGCCCCATGCAAGGCCAGCAGACCCCATGTCCTGCAGACCATTTCTTCTAAACCAGCATTTTAACCACATTAGATCTGTTTCCTTCTCCTTTCTCCTTTCAGAGAAGTCTTGCAGAGATGAAATAATCTCCAAAGAAACCCATTTCCACCTTACTGCCCCTCTGAGAAGCCTTGGATTGATTCCCTCATCTCACTCAGCATCATCCTGTGCTGGCTCTCACCAGGACCTCTGTTTTCAGTTCCTCGAAGCTCCCTTGCCACGTCACGGCTCTTCCATTGAATGCAGAACTGCTCCTCAGACTCTTCCACCCGCTGCTGATGTGCCCAAAAATAAACAGCAGAAAGCCCCTTGACCCTGGCTTCTTGGTGCAGCCCCGAATTTTTGGAAATTTGCCGCCTGAGTGGGTGGCAGCAGAGGATAAATGGCAGTGAGGAGAGAGCCACAGCAGAGCCAGCGGGCAGGGCAGCACAGGGCACAAGGAAGAGCCACCCCACAGCCACCATGCTCCCTGCTAGGACTGTCCTGCTGCTCACCCTGCTGCTCACCTTCTCCCTGCACCACGCCACAGGTAAGGAACCTGCTGCAGGTGAGGGCTCTGAGCCCCCACTGGGGAGGTCAGGCAGGAACCCCAGAGGGGAGCGGGGCTGGTGCTGCTGACAGGAGCAGCACCCCCTGCTCAGGGCAGGGCAGCACATCCCGGGATGCAGGGATGGATGGAGAAGGTGCTGGGTGCTCTCAGCAAAGCCAGACCTGGGGAGAGGCTGCAGGAGCTTGGAGGAGGCTCTGGGAGGTTCTCCTGAGCAAAGGGTTGGATGGAGGGAGAACATGCAGCTGTTTGGAGCCTTCCAAAACACCCTTCAAGTTGTGCTCCTGCCTTGGAAAGCCCCAAAACCCCATCCCCAGACTGAGCACCCCAGCCTTACCGTGTGCTCTGGGGGCTGCAGCAATTTGGGCTGTGAGGGGCCAGGTCCCAGGCTGTCCCCTGCCCCACCTCTGTCCACGTCCCTGTCCTGAGCTTGGGTGACAAACCCCGGCCATGGGATGCTATGGGAGCTGCTGAGGGGCTCCACAGCCTCTGTGCTGTGTTCCAAACCTGGTGGTGCCATTATCTGGTGATGCAATTCACAATATCCCCCTTCCCCCCCCAGCCCACTTTGCACCTGTGGAATGCTGCTTTGACTATGCACAGAAACGCATCCGACACCCTCAGGGCTTCTACGAGACATCCAAGGACTGCCCCAAGCCTGCAGTTGTGTGAGTATCCCAGGGTTTGCTCCCCATCCCACATCTTTTGCTGCCCCATTCCATCTCCCACAGACAGCTCAGTCCCAGCCAGGGGGGCTGTTGTAGGAAAGCAGCTCTGGGGAGTGGGCAAAGAGGGGAAAAATGGGTTTTAGTGCTGTCTGCTAATGCTGGTGGTGTGGGAAGACTCAGACACTCACCAGCCCAAGGAGGGCACAGGCTGCTGGAGATGGCTCCAAGCCTCGATCCTGGATGGGGCTGCAAAAAGGGAGAGGAGAAATAGTGCACAGGAAGGGAATGGCTCATGGTTCCTGTTTTCACTCTTTTTCCTCACTTCCTCATTGCAGGATTGTGGCGGCCAATGGTGATGAGATCTGTGCCGACCCTAAGAAGGACTGGGTGAATAAAATCGTAAAACGGCTTCAAAGCAAAAAATCAGACCCATCCACCATCTGAGCTGCCCATTCAGCCGTCCTGTCTCTCGAGGGAGCCAACAGTGCTGGCAGCTCCTCTCCGGCGGCTGCTGCGGCCGAGGGAAGCGTCCCTGCAGGAGGGGCCCTCAGGATCAGGCGTCACCGCGCCAGGGCCCTGCCGGCCCCCGAGCTCCTCCTGCTGTCACTGCCCCGCCACGGGGTGCCTGTGGGACAATATTTATAATAAAGACTCATTGCTACCAATTGCTGTTTGAACTTCTCCTGATTCTCCAGACCCAGCAGCAGATCCTAACAAACCCAGAAAAAAGCCTTTGCCACAAGCTCTTATTTCTCCAGGAGCAAACTGTGCCTGGTGCCAGTGTGCTTCACTGGGACTGTGACAGAGGAGCCAGGCCCTGACCCACGGGTCCAGGACCCATGGGTGAGGTTACCACCACCCCAGGCAAAGCTGTACATCCTCAGGGCATGCTTGAAGCCCCTTGGGCTTTGCAGGTGCTCCAGAATTAAGGGGAGGGTTCTGGGAGAAGATACTGATCTACCAAACCTTTAATACCCTGACAGCTTCCAAATGTGCTGGTGGTCACTCAGAGTGTCTGAGGGAGATAAGGACAATGTCCACAGTGCCAGGAGGGTGAGGACACAACCCCTTCAGCTGGACAGAGGTGTCCTGGCTGTCTGTCCCTCTGCAGGGCCAGGGAAGGGTGGGAGCAGGGTGAGATCCCAGACATTAAAACCAGGCTGCTGACCCATCTTCTCATGGCAGAGCTGCAAACATACAAGGGAAAACCTCAGAAAGGAGATAGCAAGGAATGGGGCAAATGATCCTCAGCCTAAAGCTTCATCAGTGTTTTATGCTCACAGCTAGAAAACACTTCAGGGCTGTATTTTCTAGGATCCTGAATGGCACAGGGGTGCCAAATGACATTTCTGCCGATGGACTGTAAGCACATGGGAAGAGCAGTGGTAGAAAGGGAAGCTGGAACAGAGTCAGATACTGGGGGACAAACACCTGGAGGACTGTGCACCCCCTGTCAGAGGGGACAAAGCCTTCCCTGATGAGCAGAGACTGACAAAGCACACGGCTCCACACTGGCTCTTGCACATGGATGTGTATTTTAATAAAAATAATTCTGTCAATATACAGCAGAATGTCGATTTCTTTACCATATTTCCAGTATATTTTCATAGGCTTTTTCTCAGTTAAAATCCACCCCCCCCAGCCCCTTTTTTGAAGTTTTCATGCGAAGCATCAGATAACTTAATTCACAAATACTAAGCGTAGACTGAACCAATGTGCACAGTTTGTGTAATGTCCACGTAGCCAATGCTGTACCCAAGAGGTGAAACTCCCTTCCAAGGGCCTGGAGAAGCCTGGAGTGGCACAGGGAGCTGTGCCCAGCGGTGGCTGCTCCTCCAGGGCTGCCGGGGAACCTGTGGAGAGCTCGCACCCCGTGCTCCAGCTGAGCATTTCATACCTGAGTTTTGAGCAACCAGCAGGAGAGGAGAGGAGAGGAGAGTTCACTGCGTGCTGGGCAGGTCCTGGGGCTTGCACTGCTGTGTGTGGGAGCTTCAGGGGCTGCAGCCTCCTCCTGCCTCCCCAGCTGCACAGGTGGCACTGAGAGACACGATCCCAATCCAGGGACGGTGCCGTCCTTGGTCTGGAAGTCACCGTACTTGTGGTTTTCAAATTCTCTTTAAAATCTGGATTATCCCCAGAGCTGCTGCTGCTTCTCCTTTCTCCAAGTCTAAGCCTGTGAGAAGCCCAGCATATAAAAATCCCTCTGTGCTCCCTTCTGGAGGAAGGATGTGGCTGAAGTCCTCCCAAGCAAAAACGTCCAAGCACTCGCGTGGACCCAAGTGGAGTGACCAGAGAAAAGGTGTCTGCCTGGCCATGGGACCTTCAGCAAGGAGCAGGGGTTTGCATGGCCTCCAGGAATGTTTCTGTGGTGATGTGAGTGTAAATTCCACACAGGACTTGTGGGTTTCCTGCGAGCAGGAGCGAGTTAAGCTTCCCGCCTGGAAATAAAGAGCTGGCAGGACGTGTGTGTGCTCCTCAAACCTGGATGATGCCCTGGCTTGCTGGGCACTGCTCCAGCTCAAGCTGCAGGCTCTGAGCTTTGGTTTGGGATGTGGGGAGAGGGACAGACATGCCAGGTTCACTCATCCATCACCTGCCACCTCTTGTTGCAGGGCAGGATGGTAGAGAGCAGCTAGTGCTGCCTATGAAGAGCCCTGAAGGCTCTCAACTCCTCCCTTTTCCTCCCAAATCTGCTGTAGCCCCCCTCACACAGCCCCAGCAGCACTTCCTCCAGCTCTGCCCCTACACAGCAGATGGGACAAGGCTCACAACCACCTCTGGATCTGAAGGGTCCCAGCAGCACCCAGCGTGTCCCCTGGCAGGTCCCCACACAAGAAACACCTTGGTACAGCTGGAGACCCAACACTTGCTCTCTACCTGCCCTCTCCTGGCCCACCACTGAGGCTGCTCTCACCTGGCAGGGCTGGAAGGAAGATGCTCCCCTGCAAAGGGCACTCCTGGGTGCAGCAGGAGCCCTTGCTCCTTCTCCCAGGCTGTCACCAGCTCCACGGGGCCTCAGTGCACCCAGGACTGGAGCGAGGGCCCTCTGTCTCTGCCACAGGACAGTTCAAGTCTGCACTGCTTCTTAAGGGGAGAACTTGTGATCCCATGGGGTGCACCACACAGCTTCATGGCACTTCCACACTGCTCTACGGCCTGGCTGCCACAGGTCACCTTCTCCACCAACCCAGGACAGGAGAACTCTGAAATGTGTGTCAAAGCAACCTGTGCTGCATGTGAACACAGACAGGCACCAAAGCACAGCTGCAATCCAGCCTGGTTTCTTTGCTGAAGGAGGAGATGTTCATCATCCCTGATACCCAAGGTGGAAAATGATACATTCAATCCCTAGAACTACCTCCAGCAGCTCTGGTTGCTCCAGTTTTTCAAGGCAGCCTCAAGAACAAAGCTATTTAAAGAATGGTAAAGATGCCTTAATAAAATGTGAAAAACAAGGACACAGCTTGAGGACAGACTGAGATGTCACTGTGAAAAAGAGAAGGAAGGATATGGGAAGATCCCAGGTGTAGGTAACCATGAGGAATGATACCAGCAGTTTCTCCTACAGGCTCCACAGTAAAACATGGCTGTGCTGAAGGACTCCTGGGAGCAGTGATCAGGTTGTTTGAGGCACTTGGAAGAAAAAAACCCAAATAATTTTTATAAAAGTAACTTTTGAATTGCCATGTAGCCTCTGGTTAGGTGTACAGCCACATTCCGTGTTACAGACCCCATTTCATTTTAGCTCTGTTTTTAAAAACTACTGCAATAATCCAAGTTCAAGCTAACATAAATCATCAAAGAGCAGCCAGGGAGATTCAAAGGCAAGAGGCTTTGAAATACAACCTGAGAAAACCACATGAGAAATCCCATCTAGGAATCAGGGGTAGGTTGGGACCTACATCCCACCACAAACATGCTTATCTTCCCCATACTGAGTCATGGCCACATTAGTCAGAATCTGAGTAAAAGAAGCAGAAACCACTGGTGAAACCACCAGAACACTTGAAGTAAATTAAAAAAACCCAAATAGCATCCATCACACATTTCTTGGCACCAAAATAACCAGATATCTAGGAATATCTCTTGGTTGGTTTTTTTTTTTTTTGGTAGTGAACCCAAAATTTAAAAAGGTGCTCCAGGACAGTCAGCAAAGCTTTGCTGAGAGACCTAATGGGGCATTATTATGACACATGATGAAGAGACTTGGCTTAAAGAAACCACAAAGAGAAGGAACAAAAAATAAAGATGGTGCTGCTATGAAGATGAGAGAGAGGTCTGACTGCAGCCAGACTGCTGCAAGTGGTGACCAATAGCAGAGGAAGCTGCTCCCCCAAACAGGGAAGGCAAAGCAAGGTCCTGGAGTACCTCAGTGCCCACAATGAGCCCAGCAGTGTGCTGTCAGCCTCAGGAATGGAAAGCCTGCAGGAGAATCCCACCAGGCAGAGCTCTGGGACATCTGGGACCCGAGGCTTTGGGAAGGAAACCTTTCCACTGAGTTATCTCTGCACCTGCAGCAAGGCAAGGATGGCAGGCTGGGCTAAGATCCATCAGCAGAGCTGGCAATCAACAGATGAGCTGTCAGGCACATGAGCTGCTCCTGCAGAGGAGCTGCAGGAGAAGCCCCAGCCTGGCAGGTAAATTCTGTTTGGTGCAGCTCTCTGCCTCTGTCTCCCTGGAAGAAAGGCTGTGCCAGAGCTCCCTCTGCTTTTCACAGCTGTACCAGTGATCTGACTAAAGCATCTCCTGCAGATCTAAACCTCCTGTTTTCTTAGGCCACTGCCCCTACACATTGCACACCTCCACCAAAAGGCAGGGATAATGCTCCCAACCACCCCCAGCATCATCTGCACATTCACTGCCTCAGCCTGTCCTGGCACCTGCCCCCTGCTCTGCCTTGATTTCAGACCTCATGTGCCAGCTAAAATCCATCCTGCAAACCCAGAAAATCCTTAAGCTTTGGGCTGCTGCTACTTTCCCTCTCAGTGGCACACAAACTCTCTTGGTGCTTGAAGCCCTGGCACAGGCTGACCTCCATTTTAAGGACAAACCTCAACAAAACCTATTCATCTTTCATTGACCTTCCAAAACAAAATTTGTGAACAGCAGTAAAATTCATGTTTGGTTTGAGCTCCCTTGGGTCCTCCCCAGAGCTACTGACCTAAAATTAATTTGGTGCAGAACCTGCCAGGCTGAACCTGCCATCTCCTAATGGTACAGCAGAGGATGCAAAGCACACGGTGCTGCCAGGCAGCCTGGCCAGGGAACAGAAGCTCAGAAACACTCCCAGGTGGTCTGAATGCTTAGGAGCAATCAAGTCCCTGTGCCTGGCACACAGCATGGACACATTAGTCCATTTTATTCAGAGGTTAGTCACCCACAGATCCCTGCTGGTCTCTTTTGGGACTGGAACTTTGATAATTATCTTAATAATCCCTAAAGAAACACTGCTGCTCCTTTCTGAATGGCTCAGGCCCCACAGAGCTGGTACTGACCCCAACCTGGAACCTGACCTCAGCCTGTCCCACCTGCAAGGACAAGCACAGCTCAGCCCAGGCTTCTCCAGACACTTCCAAAATTTAGAAGTGCTCATTTAGATCACTGTTTCAGAGATGGGAGAGGGCAGGAAATACTGTTATGACTGAGTTAGTGGCAGAGCCCTCCT